TTTTTTAATTTGTATTGGGGGGGGGGGGGGGGGGGAAGTGGGGTGTTAATTAATTCTATGTAATTGAGGGGCCCTGGCACCTTATGCATAGTGGGAAGGAACTTTGGGGGTTGGAGGGGAAGTGGTGCTGCAGTTGCTCAATGCAGGCAGGCAAGGGAGGAGCATCTGCCACTGCCCACATGCCAGTTAAGCTTCCTTTTATACTAGCAGTGCTGCAAGCTGTGGGGGAAGCTAGAAACACACTCGCATTGTAACTGTGTAGCTGAGCTTTAGCCTTGCATCTGCTGTGTAAGCCTGTTGCTAGCAGAGGTCCCCTCGCCTGAAAGGGAGAGGGGCAATGCTCAAGGCAGCTCTGTGCTTTAAACAGATTTTTTTTTTTTTTTTTTAGAGCGGTTTGGTACCAAGATCTGCTGCTTCCTAAGGGATGGTGTCAGCTGGTGTGTTTTTCCCAATCCAGGGTCTTCCCCTGGCCAGGGACATAATAGGGAGCCACATATGGTCTAGGAGGAAGGGTCTTGATCCTTGGTCCAGAGAGCGCTGCTGCCACCGGCCCACAGCTGAACAGGAAGCCTCTGCAGCTGGATGCTCCTCCTGTGTCCTGGGGTAGGAGTGGGTCCTGCTGGTACCCAGGGGTGGAGGGGGCACCAAGCCCTGCAGAGGCCCCTTTCCCACAGCAGGCAAACTAGGTGCTGGGTTGTAGCGCACCACGAGCATCACCACAGCAAAGAAACCGTTAGTCCTAGGTGATGTTTTCTCATCAGGAAAAAAATGGTGGAAGATTTTAGTGAGCTTTTGCTTAAATCTGACACTGCTTTATGCTGATGAGAGGAAAAAACCTCAAACTCTCTAGCCCAAGAGCCTGAACATCGCAAGGGTACTGCCAAAGCCATTCTTCTTCAGCTGAATTACATTTAACTCCAGCCCTGGGTTGAGCTGGGAGAGATACCTCCTCTGTGTAATGTCTGTATGAAAATTGCATGTGAAAACTGTCTGGTTTTGCACTTAAGCCAAAGGAGAAATGGGCTTTAAAACCTGCTGCAACAGCTGTTGGTGAATGCCATGTACAGACTTCACCTGCAAACTGAGCTGACTTTTGGCTGGGCTGGAAAGGAGGCGGCAGCTGCCTCGGGGGCTGGGTTCTGCAGGTGCGCTGTTGTCCAAGGTCTGAGTCCCACTTCTTACCTCGGTGTGTGCCAGTGTCCCACATGCCCTCCACAGCTCTGTACCACTGGATCATGCCACCTCATTGACAAGGATCCCTACATAATCTCTCCTCCTCTCTTACCCTCTGTCCACTATGTAATTTTGGCTGGAAACAGCTAGAATTTTATGCAAAATGGAATAAAATTCAAGAAAATAAAATGGAAAGAGGCTTAGAGCACATCCAGCTGTTGAGTTGGGGGAAGGGGGGTGCTCAGACATTGCTGCTGGGCCTCCTGTTCCGTAACTGGGGTAGGCTTTTGGGGCTGGGGAGGAGTAGGTTACTGCCACTGCAATGCTTTTTCAGGGCTGTGAGTGAGTCCCCACTGCTGCTCTGCACGGGGACGAGGGCAGAAGCTCTGGCTCCAGGGCTGGAGCCTGTGCCTCAGTTTCTCCCTGGTCTCCAGCCAAGGTTGTTCTACTGAGGCTGATGGAGAGCAGGAGACAGTGTGACTCCCATCTGTCATCAACCACCCGTGCGAGGTCGGTGCCAGGGTGATGGAGGAGCAGCCAGGGCAGCTCAGTGCTGTCAGTAGTGGCCGTGCCTCCTCCTCACCCCAGCACAGCAGTGGACACCAGCCTCTGCCTCCACTCTGCCATCCCCAGTGTCACCTTCAGCTCAGGCCTCTCCAGCAGCGCAGGGCTTGCTTGCTCCTCACAGCTGCATCTGCCTTGGGCCCTTGCTGCTCCAGCAAACTGCAGCCACAGTGTTTCCTCCTGCAGCCTGGCAGCCCTCGTGCCAGCAGCTCCATCCCTTGCTTGTGCTGGGCCAGCGCTGCAGAGCCCAATGCCAGGACACATCTCCACAATGGTGCTGCGCAGTCTCACGGTGACCAGAGCAGAAAGTGGGGGTTGGCTTTAGCTGTCCCTGCTGTGAAGGTGCAGGGAAGGGCCATGCACAGGCATACGGCTGCCCAGCAGCCACTCCTGGACAGGGAGGTGACAAACACCTCCCCTTCACAGCCAGACTCAGACAAAACTGGAACAAGAACAGCATGTATGTTTTAATCTCTGGCTGAGGGCAGTCGCCCCCCAACAAACCAACCACCCAGGAATCGCAGAATCAGTCACACAGCCAGAACTGGCCTCTTTCCAAGGCAACAGATTAATGACTGAAGCTCACAGGGCCACGGCCCAGCAGCACCAGGCACTAACAGCCCAGAGCTGAGGCTGCCTGGGCACTTTACCATGGCGCTGCCCCAGAGGTGCATCCTTTATGCTTCCCCTTGCACTGCTCAGCTGAGGAGGAAGAGGGGCTGGAGGAGGAGGCAAAAGCCCATGGGCTGGAGACCCTGCACGCCTCCGGCCCTCCGCTGCTGTGCTGTTCCCACCCATTCATGAAACCCAGAGGGAGACACGGCTCCTCTCCCCTGGTACTGGTCCCAGAGAGAAGCAGCTGGGGGCTGCACTTGCTCAGCCTCTCCTGCAATTCCATCACTTCCCAGCTGCAAAGCTCCCAGTCTCAGCCCACCCACCATCCCAGCAGGACCATTACCAAAGTGGGGGCTCCCCAGCACCACTCTTGGGCCACACGTGCAGCAGCAGACTGGGTGGGAGACGCTCTGTCCATGACTTGCACTGGGATGCACAGGCCCAAGCCCTTGGGGATCCAGGGTTTATCAGCACCCTGCCTGTGACAGCATCGCGCCGGGAACTGCCACCATCACTGAGGGATTCTTGTGCCAAGCTGTGGGGAGCAAGGGGTGCAGATGCAGCCCCCCCAGGGGGAGGGCACAGCCTGCCAGCTGCATTCTGCACCGCTGCCTGCCCTGCACAGCACAGATGCACTCTGGGATGAGTACCCAGGCCAACAAAGGAGTTGGGCAAAGCAAAAGCAAGCGGCCCTTAGGCAAATTACACCAGGGCAGCTGTCCCTCATGCAGGAACCCCAAGGATCCTCAGGCACAGGGAAAAGTAATCAGAGCAGCAGCAGCATCTGAAGGAGGAGTGGAGGACCATGGGTACAGGGAGCTGGGCTCCCCTCTTTAACCTCAAAAGCACTGCGGCTGAAGGCTGTCACTTGCACATCCACCTTTTTCCTTCCCTTCCCTAGGCTTTGTGCGTCTCCAGAAATAACGCAGCATCAAGGAGCATGGAACTGGGAACTTGTGGCACGTTCACCCTTCAGCTTTGCTGTACATAGCCTTGCCCCCAGGCTAGGCCCCAAGGAAACGCCCAGAGCAGTGCAGTCCTGGGAGATGACAGCTGGGATGTGCAGGGGGCACAGCCCCCCAAGCAGGCAGAGCCAAGGACTCCCTTCTTCCCACGGGAGGAATTGCAGAGGAGAGGCTGGGGCTGGCACGCAGGACGTTGGAGCAGTTGTGTTCACCCATCCCCAACACATCAGGCCTTGGTAAGCGCACCCTAAGGAGAACATCGCTGTGGCAGGTCAGCTCTTTGGGCAGCAGAGCAGGACGGGGCATCGACTCCTCACACCAAGTAGGGGGTGTCCAGCACTGCCACCCCAGCTGCTACCCCGCCGTCTGCATGCTCAATCGCCTTCGTCCGCAGGAGGTGGCCAGCAGCCTTGTTCATCACCATCTCCTTGCCCTGTCTGCAAAGAAAAGGGCAATTCAGCACCCGTGGAACAGAAAGCCTGCGCCATTTCACCTTGGACAAATTGATTTGTATTCCCTGCCGCAGCGCGGGGCAGGTAACTGGCATGCAAAAGCCCCAGGGCTAATGCAGAGAGAGCTGCGCCTGCTTTGTGCCTGCCAGCAATGGTGCCCTTTCTCAGCTGGGCCATTTTGGTCCGATTGCTCTGCACACAGGCAGTGTCAGGTTCTGAACGCTGCCAGAGTACATTTGTTTCTAAAATTGTATGAGAAGGACTTTGATTTATAAGCTATGGAAACATTTCCATGGGCCTTTAAGGGTTTTAAACAAAAGCAGCAGCTATTTAGGGTTGAACATGACTGTATTAAACATTCAGGTATTTCTGAGATCGCCAGGCCTTCAGAAAAGCACGTGGCTGCACCCAGAACCCGCACAGCGCTCCCAGAAATCAGGGATGGGACGTGGCCGTTGCACCAGTAACCGCCAGCACCAGCTCTGTGGTTTTTCAGCAGCTCATTCAGCAGCAGGTACAGAGCAACCGTTCAGTGTCTGAACAGAGTGCTCAGGGAGTGGCTGACAGGGGCAGAGACCCCCACATCTGTCCCCTGTGCCTCCACCTCCCCAGAGACATCTGCCCTGCCGCTGAGCTCCAACACCCAAGTGCCAGCTGGTGCAGGTCATGACCCTGTAACGCAAGCACCTTTCTCACCTGACATAGACACCAAAAATACCAAGCTCTGAGATGCACTCGGACACTTGTAGGGGACTGTGAGCCCTCAGCAAGTAATTCATTGCTGGCTGCGGTTTGATCTTATCCATCAGGATGTAGGAGGTTCTCTCAGGGCTGTCTCTGATCTTCTTCAGAACCTGCCTGAGCTCTTCACCATAGAGGTTGTTCCCTGACAACAGAACCAGCAATTCAAGCACTTCCCAGCACAGCAGAAGCCATTGGCCCCAGCTATGCAGCCCAAACAGGGCCAGCCTTTGCCTCCCCACGTGCTGCCTGGGCTCCCCACTCCCCAGGCTCTGGCAGCTCCTCCAGGAGCAGCACCACCTCCCTGCCATGGCTAGTCCTAGTGACTCTAAGTAGCTATGAGCCAGCCCACCTCTTATCCCTCAGCCCAGGACCAGGAGCCATCAGGGAGCTACAGCCTCTCCTGCATACAGCCCGACTGCAATGAAAACCCACACGGACCCGCTCCAGCTCGTACCTCCACCTTCTCGCTGCGGCTTCAGCACAAAACGGTCCGGGTCCGCGATAGCCGTAGCAGCAATCTTGTCACCTTCTTCACCCTGGTAGGAAAGGATGGCAACAGCAAACCATCAGGGAGGAGCAGGGGCTCCTCAACAGACCCCCCCAAGCAGGATCAACGGGGTCCCCCAGGGACCACAACAAAGCCCTCTCATCTTCTTGACCAAAGAGAAGCATCACACAGGCCAAACACGTCTGCATGTTTGTTCCTGCACCAGCCCCACTCACACTCACCAAATCCAGGGAATAGAGTCCAGCAAACGTTGCTCTTATTCGAGCAACAGCCTCGGCACGGCCAGGCAGTAATCTCTCCAGCGTCCCCGGCTGGCTCAGCTCCTGCTGGACCTTCTTGGTGCCTGCGAGTTGGGTGGCAATGTCAGGGCACTTCACAGCCCTTGACCTCTCCAGCAACAGCCGTGCCTCCCAGTTCTGGGACAGAAAGAGAGCAACCATCCCATCAGCAAAAAAACAAAAGGTTTTCTCCAGTCTTTTCTGTTCAGTTATTGACATACGATTTGCCTCCTTCCTGGTGGGAACAGCACTCTGGAGCCAAGCAGACATGAACAGATAGATTTCCCACCACCTCTGGAAACAGCACAGCCAGGTCAGTCCCCTGCCTTTGCCTGCATCCCCTCCCCAGCTTGTCCAGTGCTGCCACCTCCAGACAACAGCAAGATCTGGTCTGTATTATTACCTGCAGCCTCATAGTCCTAGCAGAGGACAGTGTGATCTGTAGATCAGATCTAAACCCTTTAAACTGGTGCCAATTGGTGTTAACCCATATTGTACAGAAGCAATTCAGTGCTGGGGTAAGAGGTCACTGCATGAGTGGGTACTGGAGAGGAAAGCCACCCATTTTTCTCATTGTGTCAGTGCCAGGGACGCTGCAAAGTCACAGCTTCCTGATGCTATCACCCATGCCAGATGGGGCAGATGTCCCTGTGATCACGGGGTGTTTCAAACTCGCTGGGCAAGGCCACAGAGTGGGCGGCTTCTGGAAGCAGAGCGGTTAGTACTGACCTGCTGGTCATAGTTCTTTGGCACGTAGCCCTCTCTGTAGTACACCACTGCGACCTCCTGGCCATCCCTGGAACAGACACCAGAAGCATTCACAGAAGCAAGCCAGTGCCTGCCCGCCTCTGCCCGACTGCCCCAGCACCAAGGGGGCTGTAACAGGGTCAGGCAGGTGGCGTGTTACAGCCTTTGCCCCTTCTTCTTGGCCTCCCGGGCTGTTCTGATCCTGGCTGGCTCTGCCAGAGAAAGCTGAGGACTGCAAGCCCTGGCTCCTCTCCACTGAGCCCAGCTGGCTTGCCCTGTCCTGACTAACCAAGGTCTCAATAATTCAGGCAACCAGCCCAGCAGGTAGGTAAGAACCTAATTTTTTAATAGCTTTTGCCACTGGGAGCCAGGCCTGGGAGATTCTTGAAGCTGGGAGGGGAAGAGGGTCCTTCTCCAGTGGCAGTTCAAGGCAGGACATCAACATCTCACCAGGGCAGGGCTTCTGGCATACCTGTAGCACCACACCCCCAAGCTTTGGCCACACAAGCTGTGCGTGCAGTCAGGGGAAGCAGCACAGAAACTGCTGCCAGGCAGTGTAACTGTAAAGGCACTCGTCAGGGAGAGGAGAGGCTGCCCGGGAGAAGTGCAGCGGATATGCCTCCCCCTTAACTGTATGTACGGTGATGACAAATGTATTCATTAATTAAACACAGCAGAGGCACCAAAGGTCAAACCATGGAAAAATTAGCCTAACTACAGAAAAAACATTGGCATGAAACCATACAGCTCCAAGCTTGTACAGCTCCAAGCACGTTACCCTGGAAATCGGACAAATGTCACCCGGGACCAACCGCCAGCACCTGGGAGTCTGCGACCCACACGTCCTGGCCTCCGCAGGGAGCGGGCACGATGCTGAGCGCATTCAAAACCAACAGATACCATAAGGACATGCAAAGCTTCCTCCTCTAGCACCAATAACCCAGCCCAGCTCCCGCTGGCAGAGCATCACACGAACAATAAACAGGAAACGTCTTTGTGGAAGCCTCTGAAATAGCCAGGACTTCTCCCAGCAGATGTATGTGTAAAAAGTAAAGATCTCTCAGAGCTCTGAAGACTATGGCTCCAAGGAGGGAAATTATGTTTCCAGATGCAAGGGACTGACGTGGGTATGCAAAATCTCACCACTGTGGAAAAAAAAAATAATCACTTCAGCTCTAAGGGGAAGCAGCAGCAGTCGCCTGGAGCACAGAAGAGAACTGCTTTCTCAGAAGGTCACTATTTACACTCAAAACATACCACTAGCTTTGGTTGAAAATTCCCATTTACAGCCCTGTGTGCCCAACACACAGCCAGGAACGCGCACCTGGGCTCATACTCACATATACAGCCTCTTGGCATCATCCAGAGACCCCTTTTCAAACACATCTCTGAATCGCTTCCTGATGACTCGAATATTCCTGTTGAGAGGAGAGGGAGAGTCAACAGACTGAGCACGGTTACCTGAGCTAGAAATCACAGGTGGAACCAGTGGCTCCAGCCAGGAGGATCCATACTACAGAGCCAGAGGAATCCTACAGGCCAAGCCCGTCCCTGTTTCTACCGCCTGTCCTTTGTTTCCAGCCCAAATACTGCAGGAATTAGAACACGTGCCTAAACACCCTGGATTTCTCCATACTCACCTTTCACCTCCTGAAGTGTTTCTAAGAGAAGTCAGTATTTTATTTTATTTTATTTTAATTCCTACACAACAGATTCAGTGTTGGCTTCAGAGCCAAGAGCTGCAGACAGATGAGTGACTTCATGCCTGCTCTGCCTCCTCGGTGCTTTCCTCCACACAGCGGCAGTGTGGGCTTGCTGATGTGCAGACACAGCCATACACCTCCCGCTGCTCCAGCGGAGGCTCAGGGCTACACCTGATCGAAACACCTCCTTCTCCCAAGTCCTTTACTCCACTGCTGCGTTGATTACTTTGCCCAGATCATTCACAATGGGTTTGAAGCTTCGTTAATTAAGCTTTTATGAAATACCCTATGCCCAATCCCAAGTCAGAGAGCAAGCAGCACCCTCATTAACCCCACTCTGCTCCATATTGTCTCATCTAAGAGACTTGGCCCACAGCAAAGCTACTACTGGTGCAGCTCCAAGGACTACACAGGCACAAAATCAGCAAGGAATCAGCCCTGGAGACCAGAGGCCTTGATGGCTGCTGGTATTTCCAGCAAAGAGCTGGTGAGAGGCTTTGGGAGGTTGGTGAGAAGATGAAGGTGGGTACTGAGGCTAGGCAGGAGGCCACCGAAGGAACACTGAACGAGAGCTGCGTAACAGAGCCCAGAGGCAAGTTAAAGGCTGCCCAGTTACATACCAAGACATACTCTCTGACAGTCACAGAAACCATAAAATGTTTTGAGTTTATCCTCGAGTAGGTGACAAAGTAAAAAGCAAATGGATTCTGCATACCTCTATCTTTCCCTGGCCTGCTCCTATGCTCCCGCTGCCATGCCGTGCCTGCTGGAGAGCCTGGAGAAGCCCCACAAGCTGCCTTGAGGGAAACACTACAATCTGGCAGCACTTTGCCCTGCTTCCCTTTTCCAAAACTGCACCATCTCCTTCCTTTCCCTTCCCAGGAAAATTCAACCTTTACCTGTTCCAAAGCTCATTTTCTACACATCGCTGATCAAAAATGTTCCTCTGGACCTCCTCCACCAGGAACATCACCACAGCACTGGAAAAAGATACCAAGGACACCATTAAACCCAGAAACACTCCACCGCCACTCCAGGATTACCAATTTTTGATCCCTGTGATTCAGGTTTCCTGCACTGCTCCTGCTCACTTTCTCTAGTGTTTCTAAGGGTCATGCAAATGGAGAGCAGTATTGATGCCACGTAATTACCAAACCAATGCAGGGCATAAGCACAAGGGCGGGAAGAAAAGCAAGCTCTGTGCAAGGCTGCTGAGCCACACAACTCCTCCATGGTGCCTCTGCACCTCTCAGCCTTTGCAACACAACAGCCTTGCACACGGAGACAACCGCACTGCTCTTCCCAGGGTGCCACAGGCTTTTTGAGCAAACAGGCATCTTTCAGAAAGCGCAATTTCAAGACCAAACACATGCATCCCCAGACGAGACAAGATAACTCAGCCTCCAGCACCTCCTCTCTCCTTACCTTTGAGAACCATAGAGCTCCCAGGCTTTCGCAATACCCAAGGCAAGTTCTTTTGATGGGTTGTTGGGCAGCAGGCGTGATGCCTCCTCAGACTTTCCCAGAACTTTCAGCACTCGCCTGTGGAACAAAAAAAAAAAAAAGCTGTAAATGCCATGACAGCCCCCAACCAGACCTAGGGAGCAGGATTTTGGAGAGCACACAAAGATGGAGCACAGCAGCCTACTGTACCGCGGTACAGCTGCCGCAGCAGCACAAACCAGAGATGCTCCCTTACCCGTGGACCGCCGCAGTGCGGGAGGTGAGGCCTCCGAAGCTGGCAGCAATGGTGTTTATTTCTATCTGTTTCAGGGCCGGTGTCCCATCTACCCCACAGTCAAACATGTAATCAGAGCGGTTTATGCCTAAAAACACAGACTGAAACAGAGGGGAGGTGAAGCGGGCTCTCCTGTTGCCTTTTAACTACAAATCCCTTTGATGACCTCGCTTCAAAATCCTCCTGGGGCAGATCCAGTCACCTACATTTTGATAAAAACCTCTGCAAGATGTGCCCAGGGGTGCTTTGGCCCTTGCTCAGGACAGAGAGCCCTCCTCAGTGCTCCAGAGGAGTTAACAACACTGGTGAGAGCAACAGAGCTTCTGCAGGGACAGCCTGTCCGGCACAGGTCCCAACACGGCACACATCCTTGCGCTCTACTGAGGATCTCAGAGGACAAAGGCAAACCATATTAAATCCTCCCAACCAAGGCCTGTTTCCAGCAGCAGTAATCAAAGGACATGACTGTCTAACAGGGCAAAGTCCTGAGCTCACAGGCTGTAACCAAGACATCGTAGCATAGAATCACAGAATTGTTTAGGTTGGAAAAGCCCTTTAAGATCACCCAGCCCAACCGTTCCCCTAACCCTGCCAATCTCACCGCTAAACCCTGGCCCTAAGCACCGCATCTGCCCAGCTTTTAAATACTCCCAGGGGTGGGGACTCGACCCCTGCCCTGGGCAGCCCCTTCCAGTGCTTGGCAGCCCTTGCATGGAAGAAATTTCTCCCAAAGTCCAACCTAAATCTGCCCTGGCACAACTTGAGGCCATTTCCCCTTCCCTGGGAGCAGAGACCAACCCCCCCCCCCAGCTCCCCTCTCCTGTCAGGCAGTTGTAGGGAGCGATAAGGGCTCCTCCTCTCCAGGCTGAACACCCCCAGCTCCCCCAGACGCTCCCCAGCAGCCTTGGGCTCCAGACCCCTCCCCAGCTCCATTGCCCTTCTCTGGACATGTTCCAGCCCCTCCAGGTCCTTCTGGGAGTGAGGAGCCCAACCCTGAACCCAGCAATCAAGGGGCGGCCTCACCAGTGCCCAGGACAGGGGCACGGTCACTGCCCTGCTCCTGCTGGCCACACTATTCCTGATACAAGCCAGGATGCCGTTGGCCCTCTTGGCCACCTGGGCACGCTGCTGGCTCATATTCAGCTGCCTGTCAACCAACACCCCCAGCTCCTTTTCTGCTGGGCAGACACTCTGCCCCACGCCTGTAGCATTGCATGGGGTTGTTATGACCCAAATCAGGACCCAGCACTTGGCAACCAGTCTGACTATGGGACAGCTCAAAGCCCACAGCAGCAAGCTTGCAGACACAGACCAGGCAATCCCACCGCAATGCAAAGGGACACAGCTGCTGACCACTGGGGTCTTCTGCCAAGGTACCTGAGCCAAGCCTTCCTCCAAAACTTGCATGTGGATCCTGAAGAGTCGAGCTGTGAAGTCATCTACCTTGATGGTACTAGAGAGAAAGAGACCAGATCAGCTCCCTTACACTGTCACAAAGGAACAAGAAAATGAATTTCTCTCCAGAAAAAAACCTTACCAGGGACATTCTCCAGCACAAATAGCAGGGCTGTGGCTAGACCAAGTCCTACAGCACTGCTAAGCATCTCACCACGAACACTCTTCACCAAGGGCCACAGTGCATAACCTTAACCCAAATCCCGTTTGCTTAGCACAGCCACTCTACCAAAAGCACCACTGTGCAGAGGTGACTCATCTGCAGGGCAGAAAGACGGGACAAGCAAAAGCAGAGAAATGTAGCAGAATTCTGCAGCTACAGGAAAGAAATCAGAAGTGTCTCTGTGCCTGCACACACAGGTCATAGAAAAAGCTTCATCAAATTCCCCCTGTCCTGTTGGGCTCCAAATCCTGCACACTGTGGTGCCAAGTGTTTCAGTGGCCCTGCTAGAGTAGGTCTGGCTTTTCTTCAGAGTCCTAAATCCCCGAGTTAATTAAGAGCAGCACCTCCAAGGAGCTGCCCTCAGACACTGCTGCGCAGGAGGCAGCACAGGGCAGGCGTCTGAGTGCACACAAGCCCCAGGCGCTGCATTCCTTAACCACAGGTATAAACATGTCCCCACAAGCTCTGGTTGCAGTCAGCTCTGGAACAGGCACAAGCATTGAAATAGCTATGAGGGGTCAGGCTTTAACAAAAAGGACGCTGGAAAACAATCTCCTTTGCTCTGCTCTGTCCCGGTGCCAGAGAGCCAGCAGCACCAGCACAGAACAGGCGGCAGGAAGGGAAATGGGTTTTGTGGAAGCATCAGCCCTACAGATTATGGAGACCACAGTCACTCCAGCACAGGGCAACAGTCACAGATAAATCCAGCAGCGCTCACGAGCCAGAGCTGACCAGTCCCCCAGCAGCCAGAGCTTGCAGGTCACCTTCCCGGCACAGCTGGGAAAGCAGGGGACACGGGGTGACTGACCAGAGGTAGGCACAGGGGAAGGAACAAACACCTTCCTTTCATAACTGCAGGCAGGCAGCAGAGCTGGTGGTTATTGGATAGCCACAGGCAGATGCCAAATGAGACTAAAAGAGACTACGAAATCCAGGACTCAAAGAAGACTTCAGCAATTTTAATTTAAGGCCCAAGGGCCAACAAGCTCACAACTAAGAATTCAGAAGCTTGAAACACTGGAAAAATTGAAGATCATTATAGGAAGTCAACTCCTGGCCAGATGTCCCATCTTCTGAGGCCCAAGAAGACCTCAAAACACAGAGACTTGATGGAAATTAATCTTACGACAAATAATGCAGCAAAAGAGACAATTTCTGCAGAGGACCGGAATGCCCACCTCAGCCTGAAGCACACAGACGGAAGGTAGGAATGCCTGAAAGGTGATAAATGCTTTGCATTTAAAATATTTCATTAAAATGCAACATGCAAGGAAGTTACCTGGCCAGAGTATGCTCCAGGAATTCTTGGTTTTGACTAATAGCATCCATCAGCAGATTAAAATCTTGCTGAACAGCGTACGCTTGTTCAAACAGGGCACTTGGTACTGCAGATGGGAGCAGCGTGAAGGGAGCATAATTCACCACCTGCAAACATGGAGCAGCAGCAGAGCAGTCAGGTCTACGTGGTTCAAGTGGGGCTAAAGAGGTGCCTCCTCTGCTTGCCTGAAGGCTGAAGCCACTCCTAGCTCTCCTTGGTGCACCCCGGACAGACACGTGCCCTCAGCTCAGCTGACTCCTGACTTTAGAGGCCTTTGCTTTATGGGCACCCACAGGGCACTGCAGAGGCAGGAGCAGCTGCTCCAGAGCTCAAGCTGGGCCGAGTGCTTCCCTCTGAAGGATGCTCTGTTTCCACCTTCACTGGAGAGCACTGTCTCTGGAACGCCTCTGTTTCAGAGAAAAGGTGAATTTGCCAGTCGTGGGTTTTGGCTATCAGAATCGCTTCCTTTGACCCCTGCCCACTGAGTCCCAGGGGTGACTCTGGGGCCACCCTCAAAGCCACTAGAGAGAAGTTCTCAATTCACCTTGATTTTTACACGAGACAAGGGACACTGGCGGTGTGTTTGGCCTCTCCTCCCAGGTCCTGTCCTCCTCTCATGCTTCAAGGTTCCCTCAGAGCCCTGACCTGACATGGGGTTGACATCAAGGAGCAGCCCCCACGGTGGAGACCTCCCTCCTCATACCCCTGCCACCTCCCAGCCCAGCTCCCTGCTTGCCCCCAGGCTCCTCAGGGACCTGTCCCCGACAGTGTCCCACCCCTCTCGCACAGGGGTACTTCATCTGAGACCCCTCACAGCAGCCCCCTCCAACAGGCTGAGCCCCCTATCAGCGCTCCTGCCCCAGCCAGCTGCCAGAGGTAATCCCAGACGTCAGCCACCCCCCCGTCCCTGTCGCCTCATCCCAGGTGTGGGGCGAAGGCTGACTTGCAGCTGGGAGCATGCCAAAAACAGAGGCCCCTCCAAGAGACTGGTTTAACAGATCATATGGGTAGCGAGAGGCTGGGAGAGGGATCAACTACCACCACCATGCACACACAGGGCTCCTGGCAATTTCCCAAACCTTTCCCGGTCCCTCCCTCTCCTTGGAAAAGGGGAGCCGTATCGCAGGGCTGCGTCTCAGGGAGATGGAAATTAATCTCACACTCCATCAGCAGGATGGAGTGTGGGTTATAGCCCCCAGCTCGGTCGGGCTTCAGCCAGGCAGCTGGGTGCTCACTGCAAAGCGACACACGCCGACGAGGGCCCAGCAGAGCCCGGGACGGGGCCCAGCAGAGCCCGGGAGGGCAGCCGGCTCCCCCCGCGCTCCTCTCGCTTTGCTGCCTCAGCCCCTGGCCAGGCCCGAACGCGCCCGGTGACCGCCCCGGCACTTACATCCGAGGCGTTGGGCTGCCC